GACAAAGACGCAACACGCACGCACTAGAAGCCCAAGCACACGCTGCGCATGTGCATGAAGCACACATATGCTGCGCACGTGTATGAAATATACGCGCATGAAACGCACATGCAAGAAGCCTAGACACTAGATAATCAAGCACACGCTGCGTACATTCATGAAGTGCACACGCGTGAACGCTGTGCACTCAAACGAAGCTCACGCGCATATATCACAAACTCTGCATGCGCACGCACACGTTAAAATCACCCACCAAGGAAGACCAATGACCATGACGAAACAACAGTCGCATACACTTCTACTTTAAGACCAACACATCAGGCAGGACAGACCTCCCAAGCCAGCGCCAGGCAGACCAACACATCAGGCAGGAGACCTCCCAAGCCAGCGCCAGGCAGACCAACACATCAGGCAGGAGACCTCCCAAGCCAGCGCCAGGCAGACCAACACATCAGGCAGGACAGACCTCCCAAGCCAGCGCCAGGCAGACCAACACATCAGGCAGGACAGACTTCCCAACCAGCGCCAGGCAGACCAACACATCAGGCAGGACAGACCTCCCAAGCCAGTGCCAGGCAGGCCAACACATCAGGCAGGAGAGACCTCCCAAGCCAGCGCCAGGCAGACCTACACATCAGGCAGGACAGACTTCCCAAGCCAGCGCCAGGCAGACCAACACATCAGGCAGGACAGACCTCCCAAGCCAGTGACAGGCAGGCCAACACATCAGGCAGGAGAGACCTCCCAAGCCAGTGCCAGGCAGGCCAACACATCAGGCAGGAGAGACCTCCCAAGCCAGCGCCAGGCAGACCAACACATCAGGCAGGAGAGACCTCCCAAGCCAGCGCCAGGCAGACCAACACATCAGGCAGGACAGACTTCCCAAGCCAGCGCCAGGCAGACCAACACATCAGGCAGGACAGACCTCCCAAGCCAGCGCCAGGCAGGCCAACACATCAGGCAGGACAGACCTCCCAAGCCAGCGCCAGGCAGACCAACACATCAGGCAGGAGAGACCTCCCAAGCCAGCGCCAGGCAGACCAACACATCAGGCAGGACAGACTTCCCAAGCCAGCGCCAGGCAGACCAACACATCAGGCAGGAGACCTCCCAAGCCAGCGCCAGGCAGACCAACACATCAGGCAGGAGACCTCCCAAGCCAGCGCCAGGCAGACCAACACATCAGGCAGGAGAGACCTCCCAAGCCAGCGCCAGGCAGACCAACACATCAGGCAGGACAGACTTCCCAAGCCACCGCCAGGCAGACCAACACATCAGGCAGGACAGACTTCCCAAGCCACCGCCAGGCAGACCAACACATCAGGCAGGACAGACTTCCCAAGCCAGCGCCAGGCAGACCAACACATCAGGCAGGACAGACCTCCCAAGCCACCGCCAGGCAGACCAACACATCAGGCAGGACAGACTTCCCAAGCCAGCGCCAGGCAGACCAACACATCAGGCAGGACAGACTTCCCAAGCCACCGCCAGGCAGACCAACACATCAGGCAGGACAGACTTCCCAAGCCAGCGCCAGGCAGGCCAACACATCAGGCAGGACAGACCTCCCAAGCCACCGCCAGGCAGACCAACACATCAGGCAGGACAGACTTCCCAAGCCAGCGCCAGGCAGACCAACACATCAGGCAGGACAGACTTCCCAAGCCACCTCCAGGCAGACCAACACATCAGGCAGGACAGACTTCCCAAGCCAGCGCCATGCAGACCAACACATCAGGCAGGACAGACCTCCCAAGCCACCGCCAGGCAGACCAACACATCAGGCAGGACAGACTTCCCAAGCCACCGCCAGGCAGACCAACACATCAGGCAGGACAGACTTCCCAAGCCAGCGCCAGGCAGGCCAACACATCAGGCAGGACAGACCTCCCAAGCCACCGCCAGGCAGACCAACACATCAGGCAGGACAGACTTCCCAAGCCAGCGCCAGGCAGACCAACACATCAGGCAGGAGACCTCCCAAGCCAGCGCCAGGCAGACCAACACATCAGGCAGGAGAGACCTCCCAAGCCAGCACCAGGCAGACCAACACATCAGGCAGGAGAGACCTCCCAAGCCAGCGCCAGGCAGACCAACACATCAGGCAGGAGAGACCTCCCAAGCCAGCGCCAGGCAGACCAACACATCAGGCAGGAGAGACCTCCCAATCCAGCGCCAGGCAGGCCAACACATCAGGCAGGAGAGACCTCCCAAGCCAGCACCAGGCAGACCAACACATCAGGCAGGAGAGACCTCCCAAGCCAGCGCCAGGCAGACCAACACAAAAGAGAGGACAGACCTCCCAAGCCAGCGCCAGGCAGGCCAACACATCAGACAGGAGAGACCTCCCAAGCCAGCGCCAGGCAGGCCAACACATCAGGCAGGAGACCTCCCAAGCCAGCACCAGGCAGACCAACACTTCAGGCAGGAGAGACCTCCCAAGCCAGCACCAGGCAGACCAACACTTCAGGCAGGAGAGACCTCCCAAGCCAGCGCCAGGCAGGCCAACACATCAGGCAGGAGAGACCTCCCAAGCCAGCACCAGGCAGGCCAACACTTCAGGCAGGAGAGACCTTCCAAGCCAGCACCAGGCAGACCAACACATCAGGCAGGAGAGACCTCCCAAGCCAGCGCCAGGCAGACCAACACAAAAGAGAGGACAGACCTCCCAAGCCAGCGCCAGGCAGACCAACACATCAGGCAGGAGAGACCTCCCAAGCCAGCGCCAGCAGACCAACACATCAGGCAGGAGAGACCTCCCAAGCCAGCGCCAGGCAGACCAACACATCAGGCAGGAGACCTCCCAAGCCAGCGCCAGGCAGACCAACACATCAGGCAGGAGAGACCTCCCAAGCCAGCGCCAGGCAGGCCAACACTTCAGGCAGGAGAGACCTTCCAAGCCAGCGCCAGGCAGACCAACACTTCAGGCAGGAGAGACCTCCCAAGCCAGCGCCAGGCAGACCAACACTTCAGGCAGGAGAGACCTCCCAAGCCAGCGCCAGGCAGACCAACACTTCAGGCAGGAGAGACCTCCCAAGCCAGCGCCAGGCAGGCCAACACTTCAGGCAGGAGAGACCTTCCAAGCCAGCGCCAGGCAGGCCAACACTTCAGGCAGGAGAGACCTCCCAAGCCAGCACCAGGCAGGCCAACACTTAAGGCAGGAGAGACCTCCCAAGCCAGCGCCAGGCAGGCCACACTTCAGGCAGGAGAGACCTTCCAAGCCAGCACCAGGCAGGCCAACACTTCAGGCAGGAGAGACCTTCCAAGCCAGAGCCAGGCAGGCCAACACATCAGGCAGGAGAGACCTCCCAAGCCAGCACCAGGCAGGCCAACACTTCAGGCAGGAGAGACCTTCCAAGCCAGAGCCAGGCAGGCCAACACATCAGGCAGGAGAGACCTCCCAAGCCAGCACCAGGCAGGCCAACACTTCAGGCAGGAGAGACCTCCCAAGCCAGCACCAGGCAGGCCAACACTTCAGGCAGGAGAGACCTTCCAAGCCAGCGCCAGGCAGGCCAACACTTCAGGCAGGAGAGACCTTCCAAGCCAGCACCAGGCAGGCCAACACTTCAGGCAGGAGAGACCTTCCAAGCCAGAGCCAGGCAGGCCAACACATCAGGCAGGAGAGACCTCCCAAGCCAGCACCAGGCAGGCCAACACTTCAGGCAGGAGAGACCTTCCAAGCCAGAGCCAGGCAGGCCAACACATCAGGCAGGAGAGACCTCCCAAGCCAGCACCAGGCAGGCCAACACTTCAGGCAGGAGAGACCTCCCAAGCCAGCACCAGGCAGGCCAACACTTCAGGCAGGAGAGACCTTCCAAGCCAGCGCCAGGCAGGCCAACACTTCAGGCAGGAGAGACCTCCCAAGCCAGCACCAGGCAGACCAACACATCAGGCAGGAGAGACCTCCCAAGCCAGCGCCAGGCAGACCGACACAAAAGAGAGGACAGACCTCCCAAGCCAGCGCCAGGCAGGCCAACACATCAGACAGGAGAGACCTCCCAAGCCAGCGCCAGGCAGACCAACACAACTTGGACCTGAATTTATCAAGCAGTTACGTGAATACTTATAAACCTGTACATCTTTTCTCAGTCTTTTTTTTTGGCTCTGATTATATATATTAAGTTATAATGTTCCATAGACATGAGTTTGCGGGCTGCGAGGCACTAGCTGGCTGTATATATCAATAATAACAGAGCATTAGGAAGTTTCGATGCTCGTAAACTGTCTAATAAATTCAAATGCAGCCAATGTAATTGAGGAAAGATGTACAGGTTTCGTAATTGGTTGTGTAAATGTTCCATGAATCCTGGTTTAGATTTACGTGACTAAAACCTGTCATAAAACACATAATTGGAAGAAATGCTTTGCAGTCGTATACGAAATGGACCAACATCACTGGGCTCCTGGGCCAGATTCACGAAGCAGTTACGCAAGCACTTACGAACCTGTACATCTTTTCTCAATCTCTGGCGGCTTTGTTTACAATTATTAAACAGTTAATGAGTTCCGAAGCACCAGGAGGCTGTTTATAACAATAACAACAGTTGATTGTGAAGTTTTCATGCTTGTAAACTGCTTATAAATGTAACCAAAGCCGTCAAAGATTGAGGAAAGATGTACACATTCGTAAATACTTGCGTAACTGCTTCGTGAATGTGGCCCCAGGCGCCATGTTATGGAATGTGGAATCGGTGAAAATAGAATACACACAACTTATAAATTATGTGGAAAGGAACTAAAGAGCTCTAACAAAGAGAGAGAGAGAGATCTATGGGTGCTTCTGGAGAGTATAATGCCTCCAGAGGAACACATAAAGGTCATTGTGCGAGGAGCACACGCTGCGCTTTCCAACTTCAGAATCGCGTTTAATTACATGAATGATGAAAAAGTAAAGAAACTGTTCATGACTTTTATGAGAGTAAAATTGGAATCTGCTGCAGTTGTATGGTGCCCAAATCTCAAGAAGCATATCAATAAACTGGAAAAGGTTCAAAGACATGCTACAAACTGCCTTCCAGATCTGAAAAAAACAAGAGTTATAAAGATAGGCAAGAGTATGCCAAAACTACAAGATAGAAGAAAAAAAAGGAGATATGATCACCACTTACAAAATAATAACGGAAATTGACCAAATTGACAAAGAGGAATTCCTGAAACCGGCAACGTCAAGGACAAGAGGACACAGATTCAAGCTAAGGAAACATAAGTGCCGAAAAGATATTATACATTTTCCTTTTGCAAACAGAGTGGTAGACGGTTGGAACAAGTTAAGTGAGAAGGTGTGGAGGCCAAAACCGTCGGTACTTTTAAAGTGTTATACGACAAAGAGTGCTGGGAAGACGGGACACCACGAGCTTAGCCTTCTTCCTGTAACTACACTTAGGTAATTACACACACATACAAACACACACACACACACACACACACACACACACACACACACACACACACACACACACACACACACACACACACACACACACACACACACACACACACACACACACACACACACACACACACACACACACACACCAGCCAAAGACAAAAGTAACGATTGGTAGACAACAGTAGAATCGTAGCATGTGCAGGCACGGAGCATGTGCAGGCCCTGAGCATGTGCAGGCACTGAGCATGTGCAGGCACTGAGCATGTGCAGGCACTGAGCATGTGCAGGCACTGAGCATGTGCAGCGCTGAACATGTGCAGGCACTGAGCATGTGCAGGCACTGAGCATGTGCAGGCACTGAGCATGTGCAGCACTGAACATGTGCAGGCACTGAGCATGTGCAGGCACTGAGCATATGCAGGCACGGAGTATGTGCAGGCACGGAGCATGTGCAGGCACTGAGCATGTGCAGGCACTGAGCATGTGCAGGCACTGAGCATGTGCAGGCACTGAGCATGTGCAGGCACTGAGCATGTGCAGGCACGGAGTATGTGCAGGCACTGAGCATGTGCAGGCACGGAGCATGTGCAGGCACGGAGCATGTGCAGGCACGGAGCATGTGCAGGCACTGAGCATATGCGGGTACGGAGCATGTGCAGGCACGGATCATATGCAGGCACGGAGCATGTGCAGGCACGGAGCATGTGCAGGCACTGAGCATAAGCGGGTACGGAGCATGTGCAGGCACTGAGCATGTGCAGCACTGAGCATGTGCAGGCACTGAGCATGTGCAGGCACTGAGCATGTGCAGCACTGAACATGTGCAGGAACTGAGCATGTGCAGGCACTGAGCATGTGCAGGCACGGAGCATGTGTAGGCACGGAGCATGTGCAGGCACTGAGCATGTGCAGGCACGGAGCATGTGCAGGCACGGAGCATGTGCAGGCACTGAGCATGTGCAGGCACTGAGCATGTGCAGGCACTGAACATGTGCAGGCACTGAGCATGTGCAGGCACAGAGCATGTGCAGGCACTGAGCATGTGCAGGCACTGAGCATGTGCAGGCACTGAGTATGTGCAGGCACGGAGCATGTGCAGGCACTGAGCATGTGCAGGCACTGAGCATGTGCAGGCACGGAGCATTTGCAAGCACTGAGCATGTGCAGCACTGAGCATGTGAAGGCACGGAGCATGTGCAGGCACGGAGCATGTGCAGGCACGGAGCATGTGCAGCCATGGGCAAGATGAGGGCTCGAAGCTTCATCTAGTTTTTAACACCACAAGTCTCCTTTATTGGCTCCTAATATTCCGCACGTAATTAATCCTCACTTTATGAAAAATGTTGAGAAGTTTTTCTTCCAAATATTTTGATAATGAGGAACGTTAGAAAGTTATAATAAATCTTCATTATATTAAGGGGGAGAAAACTTATGTATATACCATATTAAATTTATAAAATATATATATATATATATATATATATATATATATATATTATATATATATATATATATATATATATATATATATATATATATATATGCGAACAAGCCTGAATGGTCCCCAGGACAATATGCAACTGAGCATATTGCATATATATATATATATATATATATATATATATATATATATATATATATATATATATATATATATATATATATATGTATATATATATATATATATATATATATATATGTGTGTGTGTGTGTGTGTGACAATGTCAGACCACGGAGGAAAATGAAACAGGAATTTCCTTAAGTACTTTCGTATATTAAATACATCTTCAGAAGGAATCAAGGAATTGAAGGAATTCCTTCCTTCAGAAGGAATTGTCAAGCCCTTGAAACCTTTTGATATACATGTATTGTTTAATTACGAAAATACTGTTGGAAAACTACTAGTTTGAAACAGTCTTCGTAGTGATAATTGTGTCATTTACAAAATACCTTGTAAAGACTCTAATAGGTTATATGTAGGGCAAACATCCTAAGATTTGAAATTTGAGTTACGCAACCTCCCCCCCCCCCCCCCCGTCTACTCATTAGATTGACAGTATGTCACCCGAGAGTCGTATGGAACTGAACCACCAGAATCAAAGCCTCTTCTAAGTTCGCAGTGGGATTTAGAACTCCAACGACCAAGCCCCATCATACATGTCTACCTAATTTTTTTTTATCTTCATTGTTAAAATAACATAATTAGGTATTAAAAAACTGATAACACACTAGCACTCACTCCCAACACCGGTTCACAAACTATATTACAAAGCCACTTAAGGAACATGGAACAAAAAAAGTTATATATAAAATGAACAGATACAATGCGGTCAACATGCTAATTAAAATCACATAGAGGTCCAAAAGACCCTTCTTGAGGTTATCTTGAGATGATTTCGGGGCTTTTAGTGTCCCCGCGACCCGGTCCTCGACCAGGCCTCCACCCCCAGGAAGCAGCCCGTGACAGCTGACTAACACCCAGGTACCTATTTTACTGCTAGGTAACAGGGGTATAGGGTGAAAGAAACTCTGTCCATTGTTTCTCGCCGGTGCCTGGGATCGAACCCGGGACCACAGGATCACAAGTCCAACGAGCTGTCCGCTCGGCCGACCGGCTCCCTATTCGATTCGCCGACAGCAGTAACCACAGCTGCACTCACTGCCACTCTGCTGGTTCCGACACAGCAGCATCCTGTTCCAGCATGCAATCAACATCCACATTTTGCAATGGCGGGAAATGTTTCTACCGGACCACTTCCACCTGGTCCACCATCGCAGTAATGCAAGCAGCGACCAGATGACCTGAATGCTCACACATAAAACATGTCCTCGGTTGCCCAGAATACAGAATTTGTGGCGT